TGCGCCCGCCCGCCGACGCGGCCGCCCTCACAGGTGCGAGCCCGGCCCGCGTGTTCCCTGGCCGGCCTCGCGTGTCCCCGAGGGGAAGGAGCCACTCGCGGGGAGCGGAGCCGGGCGCTGCGCGGCGGCCGCCCGTAGCGGGGCCCGTGTCCGCAGAGCCGAGCGTGGCCGCGCGGGCAAGGGGCTCCCGAGGGGCTCCGTGCCCAGCGCCTTCGGGTCGGGAGTTAACGGGGGTTCTGCGAAAATCGGAGCAGCGGCCTTTGTCTGCGGGAATAGGAACTGCACACTTCACCACCTGAAACAAATACCGCAGTTTGGCTAACTTAGAGCGAAACTATCACTGGGGCATTGTGTTATGTAACAGCCCATTCTGCTTTTGAGACAGGTTACCACAAAAGGCTGTTCGAAAATGCATTAAAATACCACTCAGGAGAGCCGGTCTCGGGTATCCTGCTTCTCTATTCCAGTTGTGCCCTTCACGTAATAGAGGTAAGTCACCCAAAGCCCTTTGGGGATGGAGGAGCTCCACTGGGATTCCCCCAAACTGGGTTCCGAGATGCAGCTAGTCACGAAGGAATGGGCACCTCCTGCTGCACGCACAGGGCTAAAATAGGAGCCAGGGGCTTCGTAACCATGCAGTGCTGCTGGTAGTTGACCCTGGGTTTCTTTTTCCACTCGCTCATCGGGTAACTACCTGAAAATTATTCTGACAGAGCCAGACAACTTTGTCAGACCTAGTAAGGACAATTTGCGCTGTCCGCTGTGTCTGCAACTCAAGGGAAAGCCCAATTACAGAGCAGCTAATTATTCTTTTTACAACTATTTTTTTTTCATATTTTTCCCCTTTGCAGTCTTGCATTGGTACAATACATTTTATCATCCAAGATTTAGCTTCTCTACAAAATCAAGGACAAAAGTAAGTGTTTCACACTAGCTTGGCAGAAAGAAAGTTCGTAATGTAAGTGGCAGAAGGCTTCCTTTGGGTTAAACTGATCATTAGCTATGAAAACCTATTTCCCACTGAGTAACTGTGGGCCACAGCACAGGTAACATTTTCAAGTCAACACGACCTGCATCTTTTCTGCATGCACTGGCCTCTTGCGCAGTCCTCTGCATTGAAGTTCATCTTCAAGTTGCCACGATTTCAATTGTCAGCAGTGTTGAAAGGTTTTAGAAAATGAGAAAATTCATTCTTTAATTCCAACTGCCTACCTGATTTCTGTATCCTGCTTTGTACTTTTTTGTAGCTATACATACTCAAATTCAAAAGTCATCTTCAGAGTATGAGTCACTGCCTTTTAGCCTGTTTTTTCCCCTTTCAGCACTGCCTACCACTTACCTCAGAATCCAACCAACTACCCTCCTCTTGAGCTTAGCCAGTACACTGGCTCCTCTGTGGCCCCATATTTATTCACTGAAATCTGGGCTCATAAAAGCCACAGTTTTCTTGGCTGTGAAAGGAGTTTCTGTCAAAGAAAGCTTCCATCACACCCTCTTCCATCATTTCTTAACCCCCTGCTGCATTGTTACTGTGGCAGCTGACCAGGATTGTTCCTTCACTGCCTGTCAATAATCCTGCACAGTATGGTGTAGTGCAATATGAAAAAAAATCCTTTGGCTAGACCCAGAATTTAAAAGGACTGGGGGGAAAGAGCTATGATAGAGCATACATGTATATGCAGTATGCATATATGTCTGTGCTCTACGCATAGAATGCTCTAGCACAGCTCTGGGAATGCAAACAGAGGAGCACTTCCTTTATGAAACCTGAACATCTGGTAAAAACTTTTCTGTGCTTATGGATGGAATCTACTCTTTCCACTCAGTGCTTTATTTCAGGAAATTAAGGTTTTAGTGGTGTCGCATAACATCCCGAGCAGGCTGTTCCCAGACTGGTACGTTACAACAGTGACGCCCTCCGTGACATATCTGCAAGACACAACACAAGCGCAGTCCACGGAAGAGGTACTCACCGAGTGCCTTGTCCTCCTCTTCAAACTGGCAGCCTATGTTCCAAAAACATTTGAGGTAAACTTCACTACCCGTAACCATTTTACCTGGTTTACCCCAAACCACAGCAGCCTGCGGACGTGCTTGTCTTTCAAAGACAGTATGCAAGCGTACGCACCTGGGAGGATTCTAGGCACTACACTAAGGAAATTCAGAACTTCTTAAAATACTACTTAAAGCCAGTAAACGTTACTTATGAAGCAGTATCCTGCACTCCTTATTGCTGTGTATACTTGAGAGCAAAGAAAAAAGTAATATTTAGTAAACAAGGGAAAACAACTTCAGTGCTGCTGGTCTTGGCAAATCTCCTTCACTCGATTTTTATTGCAGCTGTTCTAAAATATACTCTTTACCATCAAGGATGACAGTGATGACCTAAACAACGATCTACATACTCTTGCACCTGAGCTGATAATCCCAGCAGAGACCGTTAACTATTTGTGTGACACTGAGGAATTTTCAAGTCCGGAAGAATTCCTGAAAATGTATTTAAATCCTTTGCAACCTGCTATGGATTCAGGTACGCTGCCTACAGTCCTAGAGACAAAGATCAATTTAAGGCACAGAACTAGAAGTCTGTTTCACATGTTGAGCTCAGAGCTAGTACAGCAACAGAGGAAGTCAGTCTACATCTGCTACCAGGGTAGCAGTTCCTATTTAGGGATGTCTAAAATAAATAACCCAGACAGCCAAAGATACCTCAAACTGCAGCGCACAGGAGGTGGTGACTAACTATATTTATCTTGTCACCAAGTGGTATGTATCCTGTCAGGAACTTGAAGAAGTGCCCTTTTATTTCACACATGAGCCCGAGGTCTCTTTCAATACCTTAACTTTATGTATTACGGAGTATTATGGAAGTTGTGGCTTAAGTAAGTTTGCTTTAGCCAGCTTGATGAAGACTGTCTCAATTCTGCTCCACTCACCCCCCTACCTCTCATTCACAGAAACTGTGTGGCCTGCCCCATCCCATTTCCTGGCGTGACGTGGGCTGTATCCAGCACGTCCTTTGCAGCCGGACACATTCATGTCCACACCTTATGGAACAGATGCACATTCATTTCCCCAGATGCTGCTTAAGAAAAGATGAAGCTGAGCTGCAACTGACTCATTAGCCAACAAAAAGAGGGTATAAGCATATAACTTCCCGTGTGGAAGTTTTGTTTTAAATGTGTCACAGAAAGAGCAATGTTATTTGGAGACTTGAATAAATATACTTTCAGTTGACAAAAGACAATCTTTAATTTTTATAAACGTTCACCCAAATGACGAGTCCAAAGAGATGTCCAAAGTCCTTCAAAGTTTTGAAAGAACTTTCAAAAGTCAACCATTTTCAATAAAATCAAAAACACTTCCACAGTTTTACCTTGAAACAGTTGCAGGTTTCACATAAACAAAAAGCAGGTTTGGTTAATACAAATAACTATGAAATAAGGATTAAGTACGGATCATTAAGGAGCAATGAAATGGTTAAAGATACAGTAAGTTTCCTTCTACAGTATGACAGTCCTTCAAGGCACTAAAATACATCCACAGTTTTGACAGGTGACTGATAACCAGCAGTCACCAACAGCACTCTGGCATATTTTTGGTTCATATTTGAACGAGTATCTGCAGCAAATCAGTGAGGGAATGTCTCTCGCAAGGCATCTCCTTGTAATGCCTAAGAACTAGAAATAAAAGTCTAACCGTGACATTAAGAAGATTATTTCCATAATACATGCACTTTAAATAACTAACGTTCTGCTGCTTCTCATGTTGGAATTTCTGCTAACACCAGTGGTATGAGCAGCTATTATGCTTCCTATGCAAGTTTCTGCAGTAATCAATTTTTTTCCATTCAGGATTCTGAAAACCCTTGTTCAGACACAGATCATTAAACTTCTTCTGAATGGCTAAGTCACTTTCTCAGTGTGCACAAGTCAAAACCCTGCACAGTTTGGCCATATCGTCAAAAGAAGCTTTTCACCGTTACGTCTGTTAGTTTTCCACCAGGAGAGGAAGCTGACAAGCTTTCGAGTTCACTTTACAGAGCAGTGCTTTCTGTATCATTGTCAATATCTAGGAGGAGGTGGTTGTGCAGTTCTTTGCTGGCTGTCTCTGTAAGAAGCTCTGAAGAAGGATTTTGAAGTGGTTCTTGAACACTGGAATTGGAGTCTGCAGAAAAGGAAAAGAAAATAAAGGAACAGGAGATTTAGCAGTGTGGACAGTGACATATTCTCAGTACTGCATTTCTGGTACTTTTCCTTAGGCAGAAGATGGCAGGAGGGCTTTTCAGACGCAGGGCTGGCACGTTTGTGCATGCGCACACATCAACACACAGAGGCTAAGCCAAACGGGTAAAGCTTACGTGTGGGTTGCTTCTCCAGCATACCTTGAGTCACCTACATAACAAAAACATTTCTTTTTCAAAAAACGGAAGGAAGAGAGTTTAATTTGCTCTCAGATTCCTCACTCTCCTGTAAAAGTGATACTTCATTTCAGATACTAGCATCAAATCAGACTGGTCACTCAGCAAGAAGTTTGGCATCTGGATGATCAACCAGGTAACTGCCACCAAAGATTATTATTACTTTATTTCTTAAAGAAATGATGGGAATATATGTGATGTTAAAAGGAGACACTGTCAACAAAAAGCAACCCCCTCACTGCCTTCTAACCCGCTTTCCTGGGCACTACGCTTTGGAAAGTTGTACTCTCTGCCCTCTATTAAGAATGGAGAAATTCGTTCAAGTAAGTGACCTCAAATATTGTACTTTGGTCACTCACTGCACTATTAATTAGAAAATCAGAAAAATCCAGAACAGGTCACAATAATTATAAATGAAAATATTAAGTTAGTATTTTTGAAAGCTAATTTATAATATGCCACAGACTCTGCAGCAGAAACCATTTCTATAGCAATACAACAGCTTCTCCAAATGGAAAAATCATTTAAATCAAGCATACAGAGAATCCTAAAATACTTTAAGCTCAGGTAGCATAGAAAGACATCCTTTAAATATCTCAAACCACATATTACAAACTTCCTTGTCTTCCTGCAGACATTTTCACTATTGCTATCTGATGCAACATGGTAAAACTCCATAGCTTAATGTTCTCCGCCAAGTTTGGCTGTAGAAGAGAGAACAGAGAATCCCAGTAGCTGGGCCGCTGCGCGCTCCCTAAGAGCACATCAACTGCTGGGGATTTCCATGTAAAATACAGCTGAAAAGGGGCACACTGAAAAATGAATGCAAAAAGGGGGTAACAGAAAATGTGAGGTGACCCAGGAAAACATTTGATTGTAACAAATGATACGGCTTCTTCAAATACAAAATGAACCTTTGTAAAAAAAAACAAGAATTTGCAGATATAAAAGTCTATTAAGGGAAAATCACACACACAGCATGAAACTGGCCAGTGAAAACATGAACTTTACATATCTAGACATCAGTGCTTTTAGTAGGTTAATGCAAGCGCAAGCGTAGGAGGGAGCCTTTGTCTCTGCATGCTGCGCTACTGGGAAGGCAAGCCGCGCTCGCTGGGACGGGTTAGTAGTGGGCATTAGCACACGCATGATCAGCAATTAGCAACGTCTTTGGCCAATCATTTGCCTTTGCCTTACCATCCAACTTTCCAACACAGTTCATACTGAATGCTGGTCAAACATCTAGATTGTTTAATAAAATTCTTGATTAGAATATTCTTTCCTAGGGCTTATGACTTTAAAACTACTAATAGGATTTGAAGCATTATTAAGTCCAGCGCCTGGACAAGGAAATTCAACTGCATCCTGAAAATACTTCAGGATTCCAACTTGTGATATTATGACATTTATTCCCATATTTTTTCCTTTGCTCTACTATTTAAATTAAAAAACAGTTACTTAACACTAAATTAGGTGAGGCAGTTCATAGTATCAGTGTTTAAAAATAAATGCTTATATGTGCATGTGTAAATGTTAAAGCAGATATTCTTATGTAATATACTGTGGTGTTAAGTCTGAGCAAATATTAATAAAATTAAATTATTAATAAAAATAACAAAAAACTCTCTGATCTACTCATATGGAAGAAAATGATCCTGTATTGAGTGTATCCTGTACTGAGTGCACTGCTGTGAGTAAACCTAAGTACCAGCTCAACCTCAGGTTTTTATTTATTTTCTTTTGGGGGGGGGGGGGGGGGGAGGCAAAACATTTTAGATTTTCTGGGTTCTCCTATCAGATTTGTTAGCGAATCTGTTGCTGTTAACTTTCTTTTACTGACTTTGTTGCATGACGAGCATCGTACTGTTGTACCATACACAGCTTACATGGCCAATTTTCTAAGGTTCTTTCACTTGAAAGGAATAATACCATTCAGCTTTAACACAAGTTGACAATCAGGCCTCAAATTCAATGTATTTTTTAAATGCATTAAAATACAGTTTACACTTTTTACTAAAAACCAGCATGCTTCTGTTGTGCCTTTAACTGAACTGAAAATGAGCTCTGTGGTTCACCATTTAAGTTGTAATTCACAATCCAGATTTATTTACAGCTGTGCCAGCCTCATGGCAGATGCTTTGTTCATATAACTGCCTTTTTTGACTCCGTGCCTAGCAAGTGGATATTACTTAAAAGGCAAATATTTCTCCAGAATAAGAAAGTCTGCTATCATTAAAGCGTTCTGCATCGAAACCAGAAAAATTCCAAAATGAAGACACAGGCAGTCAATCTATGATATGGGACATAGCAAATAAGGTTAAGCCTTGAAGTTTGACTCATTAGCAATATTTTCAATCTCATTTCACGTTTAAGTTCTGTAAAGATCCAAATCCCAGCCTTATTTCTGAATTCAGCTATGATATAAATTGCCTTTTCATTTCAGGATTACAGACAAAAGAACAAGAGTATGATCAGATAGGAGTTTGTCCGAAAAAGAAGAGGTGCTTTGCAGTTGTTTAGAAGCTCATTGATTGCCAGTTTCTCTTATTTAAAAAAAAAAAAAAAAGTACTTCCTAGCTGTCAATCCAATGCTAATTTCAGTATCTTTCCTAGAAACTAAGTCACCTCTTGAGATAATTCAAGGCGGCAGCCTCAACATAGTCAGTCTGTCGTGCAGTTGTTATATTAGAAAGGTATCATCTCTAATCCACTATATATGCACAGTAAGGTTATTAATCTGTACTGTTTGGCAGCTGCAGTTGAATGGACTAGTACTATTAGTGAGGCTTGGCTTGACAGAATGCAAATGCAAACATGCCAGAATGCAGAGACACTGCTGGGTGCTTTTCTGCAAAGGAATTCAGTCACATGAGTGTGTATTTTGCACAAATAAATCCTACGTAGTTAAAAATAAATGAAGTCTTAAAGTGAAGGCTACATTAAAAACACACACGCAAAATAGAGAAAAAAAACAAAACAAAAACATAAGCTGCAATATTCGCCTGTCCTGATGGGTACACACCTATTTTAAACAGGTCAGTGCTTCACACTTGACTCCAGGAGTGGCAGTTCTGGTGTCTTTGCATCAACTTTAGAGTGTTATTCACTTCATTTAAGGGATGTGGCTGTTTTTATGACTTAATATTCACAGGATTATTTAAATTAAGCATATATCTTAATATCTTTTAAAAACAGAATGATATGTGGTAATGAAATAAAATGCAGAGTTGACAGAGAGCACATATTCCAAAGCGCATATACAAAATAAAGCTACAAATAAAATATGGCTGTGCAGGAGCATTTTAGCTGCATTGCATGTTTCTGGTCAGTACAAACCTTATTCGCAGTAACCATCCCCACCTGTGAAGGCACCATGGGGTACAGCTGTTAGGCATCAGAATATACTTTGCATTCCAAAACATAACTCTCATTCTAGAGACACTGCAGCATCATTGGCAAGTTTAAACCATTACTGAGTATAAGGTGATTTTAAAGCTTTAGTCTCCTTACATTCATTGCCTTTTCCTTCAGAAGTGTCTAACATAAGCAGAGTCTCAAGAGAACATTTCAAGATCTGATAGTTTTTTTCCCCCCCATCTGCAGTACTGTCATTTTTCCCCCAGGATTTAGATGTTAGTCCCCAAACTAAGAACTACAAACTTCATGAAGTTCCTATGAGAAGACAGAAACGTTATCTGTACTTCACATGTCTAAAAAGAGAAACAAGATGTCTTCAAAATATGAAAATGTATCTACAAACTGACCTATAATATATAATATAGCTGATTTTTCAGCTTCTATATGTCCAACTTAAAAGCATTGGAATGGCTAGTTTTCAAGGCAAAACATTCACTGCATTAATATCTTTATTATAACGGACACACCATGCCAAAACCTGTCCCCTTATCCTCTGCACATGCTCAAAGGCACTAACTCCCTCCTCCAAGCACTTCCCTTTGAGCAGCAGACACCGAACAGGCTGTCACAAGCTGTGCGGCGTGCTTGCTCCGAGTGTTCTGCTTCCACAGCAGTGACACAAAGCAAGGCAACGTGCACTGCCCTTTGCTCTGCGCCCACAGACCTTCGCTATGGAAGCTGCTGCCCCAAATCCTCATGCACCTTGGCAGGCGCAGGCATTTTAGTAGGGCATCAGCAACTATTTTGACTGTTATTTGTCCTTTCAGTGTTTCAAAAAAGGACTACTTTGCAGCTACAGACATTACTTTCTCTGTTTCTGCTCCCTGCAGTCACCGAGCAAGACAAAACAATCCACTCACCTGTCACTATTTTGGAAGCCGTTTGTGTGGGGTTCGTAACTCCACCATCGGCAGGCGGGTGCGGAGCGGGAGGATGAGGCGGAGGGGGAACACTAGGTCTGTTCCTGGGCTTTGGTACCGGCCGTGGCCTTGGCAGGGTACCAGTGTGAGGAGGAGAGTGAGACTGGGATGTCTCTTGAGCAGATGGCTGTGACAGGGGGGAACTAATATTGTGTTTTGCTAGAGGGGGAGTATCAGGCGGTGTTGGAGTCTGCGGAGGAGTGTAACAGGGCTGCTCTGGTCCGTGCTCACCGCTGCCCGCAGCAGCGGGACATGCTTGACTGTTTGCCTTGGGCTGCAGGGGAGGAGTAGCCTGTGTCGGGGGCTGTGGTGGTGGGTGGCTGGGAGCCTGTATGGGGGAAACGCTGCTGGAGTATCTCCGAGGTGCAGAGACCTGGCAAGAGGAGGCCGGGACTGCTCCTTGGTTCGCATGTTGACCAGGAGGAGAAGAACTTCTGGCGGGTGGCTTTGGAGAGACAGAAGGCGGCTGAGCAGCAGCGGCAGGACTCGTGCTCCCCGGCTGCCCTGGGGGCGGGTTGGCTGGCTTGGGGGGCGCCGGGGCCGGCTTCTTAACAGCTGGTAAGAGAAGAGATGACATTTCACCATTGCACACTGGCCAACTACTCCTTCAGTATATCAATCAGGGGGATAAAAGAACATTGAGCTGTATTAGCAATGGTGCATTATTAAATAAAAATGATCGCCATATGAAGCTACCAAAATGCATACACAGGTTTACTAATAAACAGCCTTTAAATGATTTTAATTAAATAGCGTTGATAACATTACTACGAGCATTCATGAAAGAACCCAAAGATGCAATTAGCTTGGCTTAGTGAAATGTAGGAGTATTAAACCACTGGAAATGGGGGGGGCGGAAATAAAGGATAGGAGATACTGGTAAGGTGACTTCAGCAAACATTTTGTCAGTACACTAAGAACTGCAGCTTAGTGGGTTTAGAAGAGAATTAAAAACACACCTCGCCTCATTGAGTGGGGGCTGGGACCTGCTGCATTCTGTGGCTGATTAACAGAAAGCTGATTAGAGCTACTTGTTGATTGATTCTGGACAGTGCCTGCATGTCCACCATTTCTCGGGGGTGGAGGAGTAGCTGAAGACACAGTGTCCTTAGGTTTTGAGTTACTGAAAAAATAATATAAGAAGGTGATCATAAAATGCCTCACACAGACGAGCTGCACCCAGTAAGGTTTACATTAAGGTTTACATTATGAACAGTGTTCTACTTTTGAACCTCAAGTCTTTTAGAAAATTTCTGCACTGGCTGATATTTGACAGCAGAATAAACCCTCCCAGAACTTTTCAAAGAGCTCCCACGTAGGCGTCAAGCAGATCTGTGTAAGAGATTATTAATTACAAAAATTACATCAAGAATTGAAGCATCATTGCACCATCGCCACACTTGTTTGAATAACATACTCTTAACTAGCATTCAGTCTCCAAGCTGTAGCACCTGCAGAGTATTTGGAGATCCTTTGAATAAAGTCTGCCGATGTGAAGGTTCCAATAAATTAACTCTTTCAGTTCCTCCCCTGAATGTACCAATCATCCCAATAGCAGCCTTTTAAAAACATTCCATGACAGCAAATTCACTGGCAGTTATCTGGGATGTGTAGCTACTAAGGAGTACCTTGCCCAGGAAGGTGACAGCATGTGGGGAGCCCAGGTGCCCAGGCAGGAGCCAAGCGAGGTGCCCCCGGCAGCGTCCCCTGCTCTGACTCCCTGTGCACTGACCGTCTCCAGCCCCTGCCGTCCCGAGAACCTCTTGCAGTACTTCACTCACCCAACTAACACCTTTCAATCACTATCACAGTACCAATTTCTCTAGATGCTGTTATTAAATTTTAATTACTTTAAGGCAGAGTTTATGCAGATTTTAAATGCAACTTCTAGATATTACTTTCAAATATTTATTTTAGGCCCTTATACCATAGAAAGCATCTGTGCAGGAAATAGTCCACACAAAGTATCTAAATGAGGAACTGCACCTCCAGAAAGTCCCAGCTCCTTTAAATAATCAGTGGTACTTATGAAATAAAATGTTTTAATATACACTTTAAACAAGTTTTAGGTAAGCTAGAAAAATTATATCATCCTGCATTTGCTTGAAGTGTTAACATCCCTAATTGATAAGTATTTTCAAAGTCAGAAATGTGGGTCTTTTGTCACAGACCCCCTTGCAAAAAAACAATATCTGCTGACAAAGGTATGTGCAGAAGAGTCAGTGCTTTGCAGAACTCCATGGTGACATTTTATGGTGCTAATCTGTGCAGGAGGCTGCTAGGTTTGCCAGTGTGGTTTGCCAGCTCTCAGACCACACGGCTGCAGAAAGCAATGGGCTGCTTTCACCCTACATGCAAATCCACAGCAAGGATCTTGGTATCCAGCTATAATAATACCTGGGATATGATTGCACAACATCTCAAGTAGCAAAACAGCCTGAATAGATGTAAATGCTCAACAAATTATTTTTGAAGGGTAATAAACTGACTTCCAGCTTGCTAGAAAGTCTGTCACCACCAACACCTGCTACAGACAAAGACACAAATTCGGGTAACACAGAAAACCCAAACAAGCACAACAGGTTTCTAGTACTGCCATTGATAGCTTTCGTTTCAGCAGGAAACTGACAGTCACATCGCACGGCCACCTCTGGGCTACGACTTGCAGCAGTCACTATGGACAGCAGAAGGGGAAGGTTTTTTAGCATATATCGTGATTTTTTTTTTTTTTCCAAGTAGTCTCTTATTTTAGAAGATCAGTTCCAAAACATATGTTCATTAAGGCTGTAAATACAGCCAGAGGTCTCTTCCACACTGTTTTGCCCATATCTGCACATGCTTTACACGTGGCAAGATACACTCCAATTAGAAGAGGTGCCTTGTGAAGCAGACGCAGCTGACGCACCAGTTTGCTGCTGGAGCAGCCTGCTAAGCCAGCGCCAGCAGAAGCCAGAGCTCTTACCTGGCATCCTCGTGGCCCGGGCTCTGGCAGGGATCTGCTGCGGCGGCAGCAGCGCCCGCGGGGCCGCTGTCGGCCGCGTGCTGCTCGGCGGCGCCGGGCTCGGTGGGCGGCAGCGGCGGCTGGCACGCGGGTGACGTGTGCTTTCTAGCTACCGTGCCACCTCGCCGCGGCGTCGCCGGGAACTCCATAACCTTCACACCAAAGCTACAGAGAGAACAAAGAGTGAACACACCGCGCAAGCCAACCCCAGAGCGCCACAGCCGCGGCACGTGTGGGTGCTGCAGCCCACGAGGACAACGGCAGCCGTGTCGCTCAGCATGCAAAGCCGCAACACGGAAGCTCCAGCTTTCTGCAGGAGACACCAGACACGTTAAGACATGCAACAACACGGCCTGTCCACACGGAGCAGGGAGCTAAACGTAAGTGGGACGAACAGCTCGATTACATCTGAAGACAGACACTGATGACGATGGGGGCAAACAACTCGGTAACTTTGAAGGTTAATACATATATATCCTTAGGTACCAGAGTTTGAATGTTTTGCCACATGGATTTTGTTTTTATTACACACAGTCTCTATGATCCTGTACATGACTTCAAGACAGACTATCAAATAATGCTGCTGGATGTATGCTGTTATGATTTGCATTGTTTAAAGCAGAAAAAAAGAAAAGTACCCCTATTTAACTATGGATAAACAGAGCGAAATTCTAACGGAATTTCAGAATGTAAACAGCACATGAATTCTGAAAGTGAATTTTATCCCTGCAGTATTAAAGACAGTGAACCTTGAGCTGATTCTCTTTTCCTCTTTCTGTGGGTGCTGATAAATCCACATGTCTAGCCATAGTTAACATTTAGGTAACAATTTAACATTTGCAGAAATAGCTGGAAACAAAACAGCACGTCACTTGAATATTCATGATATGAGTGATAATAAATGAGCATTACACTACATGTTATATGGGAAAACAGCACTTTTTGTAAGCATTCTACTATCTGCTGTGGTATACTGTACCATCATCAAATCAGAAGTCTTATCATGAAGGCACCAGGTAACACCACCTCAGCTTATGGGCTTTGGAAAGAAGCCATGGAACATCAGAGGTTAGAAACTCATAGATGTTACTATAAGCACACTTCTGGATTTCAGACCCCCAGATCTGTAACAGGAAGATGGTAACTGGAAGCAGCGATTATCTGCTTGTTTTTTAATCATGCATTGAGTATAACCAGAAGGAAATGCCAGTACATTACCTTTGAACCTTCCTCAGGCTGCAACAACACGAGGGGAAATAAATCACTAGTGTTATCTATACTATTTCCGTAAAATTCTCCTCCTGAGACCAACGCAAGTGTGTCCAATTACCACCTCCTTAGCAGCCCAGCTCTCAGGAGAGGGCTAATATTTGAAACTTAACCCTAGACTCAAGCATACCTTTCCTTCTTCAACAAATCCCCTTCCATAACAGCCATACTAACAGGCCTCTTCCGTTCCAGTGTCCCTGAATCATATTCATTCCCAGTGTGTGACAAATGATTTGAATTAACAGCAGGAACTGCAACAAACGCCCCAGACACATTGAAATCTTGTTCTGGAAAAAAAGACACACAATCACAAAATGTAGCTTCAATACAAAAAACTATTGAAGTTTTACCTTCGCGGGGCTATCAAAAATACAGAATTCCTTATGCTACAGCAAGAATTTACCTCCAGGGAAGAACCAGTCTGCATGCTGAATAATTGGCTCAATAATTGCTACCACATGGACTGAAGTTGCAGCTGCCATTTCAGCAAGGGATCTGCGGAAGAAATTCAGACAACAGTTCATACGAGACTCCCAAATAACAAAATAAAAGAAGTTTTCATCTAACCTAAATGGCAAGTTTTGCCAAGTATGATGTATCAAGGCTTAAGTACCACATAAAAGGCAATTTCACACTTTGATGAAATTGAGAATATTTAATAGCGCTTATAACATTAAAAAGAATCCTGAAATATGCATATCTAAGGATTATCTGGAAGCACAGTTTTACAAAGCATTTTAAAATTATTTATTTTTTAGGCAAACACTCTGCTGTGAATAGTCTGCGTGATTTAGAACAACTGGATGAGAAACTCTACATCTTCATTTCAGTTTTGCTTTGCAGCATTTCTGAAACAACTTACCCTTCGTTCTTTGCCCATAGTAAGTTGGGACCCAGGACTATTGCAACATTGCTGGGTGTCATTTTGTTAACATCACTGTTTTGCGCAAGCTTTGCTAAAAATTTGATTAAATACCTACAAAAAGGAAAGAAAGTATTGAATAAGGCAACAAGAACTCTTTCCACCCAACAACATATGCTAGTAATTGGGACATAATTCATTTTTAAGGCAAATCATAGTTCTGCTGTTCATTTGAGAGAACGTTACAACTTAGATGCTTTCACCAAGAAATGCTCTAAGCCAAGCTTCAAGATACAGAACTTCCCAAGAGACAAAAGTAAGACTAAGAAATAGTTTGCTCGGTAGTTGCCTAGTATGCTTCTAATTCAAGAAGCACAGAGGTTGAGTTTGGTGGAAAGGCATCTCCAACCTTAAAAGACTGACTTCAAAGTACTGCACTTTCAGAAAAAATATTTACATAAAGAATTCCTACCAGCATCTGTTTTCATGTCATTTAATGGAATTTCCACACTTTTAATTAAAGTCAGAGTTTTATTCTGTTTCATTCCCAAAAGGTAAAGCCAAAAGGAAAAATAAAATGCATAAGATGCAACCAGTTAATATTTTTTAGCCTAAAAAGCAAGAACCTAACAGGTGAAGTCGTAAAATACTGTCAACACTATGACATTTAAGTGGCAGAATTCCAACCATCATTTCATTACACTCAGTAATGAATTTACCTGATTTAAATATATATAGATAGATAGATGAATCGCCACATCAAAGCACACCAGTTACTTGATAGATAAAACAGGATGCCTGAATGGAATGTGGCCAAGAAAAAAAACTGGATGAGAGTTTTCCTTGCTCAGCTCCAAGACCGGTGATGCTCTAGCATTAATGCTGCTCTGCTGGCTGCTGCAGCTGCTGATTCCTACCTGAAATTAGCATGATAATGCTTGGGCAATCTGTTACAAATTTTCCACAGTTCCTGGAGCTTCTTATCCTGGTCCTGAATACTGCAGGGAAAAGACATTTCAAAGTAAATAATACTTTCAGATCAGAAAATGATTGTTTCTTCCATGAGCAAAGATTGAATTAATACAAAATAGCATATTTATTTGGACTAAATGCAAAGGTACTCCACCTGCTTTTCAAATTCACAAATTAATTTTCCATGAAAAAAGGCTGCTTACAGCATCAGTACTCTGAGGCCCATAGCCTGAAACAGCCCTTGTGTTTAAGCATAATATGGTAAGGCGTTTCACCAATAAGTTTTAATACAATTACTGTAGAGTTATGAAACAATTTAAAACAATACAGTACACAAGATATTCACTAGTACAATCAGAAAATTCAACTGTGTGAATTTGGACTTCTCTTCAATCCACACACAAGGACATTTGATCAAAATGTGCAGTGTTTGCTCTACGTGCACTTTCAGCATGCTTACTTTGCAGCCTGCGTCCATTCTTCATATAAACCGTACGTCATTAAAGGTTCTGGCAGCTCTCGCAAATAGGATTTTAAGGCACCTGCAATGTAGCCCAGAAAAAGAAACTTCTTAGCTAACACGTTCAGACTTCATTTAAAACTTTTGGCCTTAGACTGGCAATTATATCTGTGCAGCAGGGCCCAAACTGCAGTGAAACAGTAGGACGCCTTGACGTGTCTGCAGTATATCTGCTCAGCACTTAACACAAGAAGTCATCTGGCAATTACTGTAATGCGAAACTCATGCTGTAAAACTTTTGAGTCATCCCTTTGCAGGACAGACACATTACAGCTACAGATGGTTTCAATCTCCCTCGATTGCGTTAACACTCCTGTCATGGGAAGAAATACAATATTGGGATTACCATGATCACCCAAATTTTAAACACAGCTCTGATCTGCAGAGACAAATTCAGAGTGTGATTAGCATGCTCTAAGCTTGATCTGTGTTAAGTTATGCTGTGGAGCGAGCTTTGATTTACTTTCAGTTACAGTTTACTCGTGCAGAGAGCAGCACCTCCACCAGCGAACAAACAGAACAAGTTTCCACTATATCAGCCTATACCAGGGTTTGATTGAGAGCATTCACAATACCTGCAACAGCGTGAGGGTCGGAATAAAACTCATCAAGCTGGGAAGCTGAACAGTCCAAGGCAGCTTTCAGTTTTTTTAATTTGGAGGCTCCAGCAGCGATTCTGAATAAGCCCTGTATAACAAGCAACAGATGTTTTTGACTGATACCAACATGTTTTACAAACATGAAATAGCAAAAGTTGTTTCAGTGTCTTTTCAGAGCAGTTTCAACTTCAATACCATCATACTTGGTTATGACCAAGCGAGCTCTTCATGTGTTAGAGCTGTCGAATAATTCTTCAGGCCCCTCCTGCCCCAGCCCCTTCTGGATTCTTCCTTCTGGCTGTACTACATCTCAAAACTATTTCCATCAGTGTCCGAAGTTTTTATAAGAGATTTATGATTCACATTAATAAAGGAAAATAATTAAGCACTTTTTTAAAGCATACAGAGATAAATACACTAGTCTGTTAGCTTCACCAAGCTCCTTTTCCCCTTCATTCCTAGGGTGTGAAGTGGTACTGCCTACCTCCTCCTTCATTCCTGTTTCCAAAAGCATCATTACACAGGCTTCGATGGGGACTGCAATTTCACGACCGCTGCGTTTGAGATGTTCTTCCAAAGGTGTTCCAAAAGCTGGTTTTTCAGTCCATTTGTCTAGTTGGAGAGTATCAAAACACTGAGCAATATATCTAACAAAATAACTTCAACTCTGTTCTGCACAGGAAAAGAAGAAAGCCCCCAGTACAGCACAGGAATTTTAAGAATGCAATAGAGGTTTTGGAGCCCCTGTGTGGTAAAATCTCTTGTATCATGAATAGAGAGGAAAATGAGCCTGCAGGTATTCCCAAGTAGAAATACTTGTGCATCCTTCTGCCTAGCGCATCACGCGCATCCTCTGCGCAGCTGCAGGTGCGTGTCCCAGCACGACTGCAGCCCGGAGCAGCTCTGACGCGCCCCCAGCAGCTCAGCTCTGCAGGAACCTCTGCGCAGACTTTGCCCAGTTTGCATGCCCTGGGCCACTCGCAAAGTTTGTAGTCAGCACAGATATGTGTGCATAAAATATACTGAATATTTAATTAACACAAGGTTTATGGATAATTTAAAGAAACCCTGTCTTGCATTAGAATTGCCATGTTAACAGCCCATCACTGTACCAATTTCACGATTTTTCCAACTCAATTTCTCTAAATTATTGATTAGTTTTGAAAGTCAAAAATGGTGTAAGTTCTTTACTAAATGGCATGTACATTCCCTCTTTCCTATGAGTGACTTCCCCCCCCGCCTTATTTTTTCTGCTATTTTAACTGAAAGATGCAGGTGTAAGTTATTGCTAGTTCCAATGCCGTATTTTTTCTGTGGAGAGGTTAATAGAATCTAAGACTTTGCAGCCCTCCTCTGATGTGATGTTTCTGCAAAGGATTTTATTTATTCTTTGTGTATACACCCCGTATATAGCTCTGTACCTCTCATTCAGTAACACATCATGAGGAGCACATGTCACTCCTCCGGTTCTGCAAGTTACAGCAACGTTAGGAAGAGAGCACAGCAATCTGCTCCGAGTCATTTATACTGCAGGTAGAAACCTAACTGCAGTCGTGTCCTACTCCTAGATATCAGACTCGGGGCACCCTGGCTCCTGCTGTGCCTTTTGGAAATGACAACCTCTTCTAAAACACTCGCCATATGGAAGCCTTGTGCTAAGCAGCTAAGAAACAAAATCTAGCAGAGTCAGCTCCGTATCCAGTAAGCAGAGAACCTAGCAGGCAGTCATAAAGCACTTCTGATGCTGGGCAAGCCTGATTTGCTTGCATTAGCTTCCCTCCCATCAGATCTATAGAGCACAGAGACTCAATACTATCTTTCATCAATACTCTCATATTCCTTGATCTCTCCAGTTTCAGTTTCAACTTGCATGTGGTCCTCAACTCCAGATACTCCGGAGCCTCGTTCAGCTCGGAATCCCCTTTCTGAGACTTTGTTCAAACCTCTTGTTCAAAGCAAACAGATGACGGGACGCGCAGGCAGTGCTGAGGCTGCACCCTCAGCAGCACCCGGGGCATCTGCAAAGCAAAGAGCTGATACAGCTAGACCCGTGTTGACAGCGAGAGCCTCCCGCAGACATGAAGCCGTCTCGCTCACTTCTTTGCTATCTGATACCTGTCTAGCACAGCAATCTGAACACTCAATTACCCAGCCGCAGTGCAACGTGCACGAGGCAAAGGGGCGGGACTGAGTCCACTCCACAGAACCTGGCGAGTTTTTCCTGATAATCCCCTAGTAATCATTGAAGAAACAAGGGTCTTAAATTCCTAATTCAGAGTAAAATTTTCATAGCCCAGAAAAGCCAGGAATGAATTAACAAAAGGTCACATGATATCAAGGAAAGAACGAACACGAGTGCAAGAGAAACAAAAATCCTTCCTTTACCCTCTTGGGTATCAGACAGATCCTTAATATTTTATTAGTGTGTTAAAATATGACTGGAGAGCTCCAGTAAAATGCAGCACAGATGGAATTATGTTTGTCAATGCAAAATTGTTAGGTAGATCAAAATGGCCTTAAGAAATAGGTCTGCATGCAAAAGAATTGAGAAAAAGGAGGAGAATATTGTGCATAGGTGGCACAGGCAAGGAGAAGCATCAGCCAGAGCACAGGTTACTTTACCTTGGTGGGCTTGAATTTCAGGGAGGACCTTTTCTAAGACTGCTAATGCTTTTCTATGGTAATCTGCTTGTGCTTCTAATAACTGAGAACAGAAGCCACATTTTAAAAAACAAAAACAGCATTAGCTTCTGATGAGCATATAATACAAGACTAGAAGGTTTAGTACACAAAATGTAAACTTTGAGGAATAAGTGTCTATGCACATAAATGTTGCGATTAGTGATACTGAAAAAGAATACTTACCATAACAAAGAATTTAGCATATTCCCCCTCTTTGGACACAAAGTTATACATGTCTGCTGCTAGTTGATCCTTTGAAGAAAGAAAAAAGGCAGCGTGCAAAACATTAAATTCAATTTATAACTTGCATGCAAAGAGAGAACCAAGTACATTTATTTTGCTGGCAGCAAGTTGGAACTATGGATTCAGGCAGCACAAAGCCTGTAATCCTCCCACTCTATATACACATGGTGGTAAGACTCCGACAGGCTTATGAGCAGAATTATGAGCAGCTGCAGCTCTTCATGGTAGGGCTGAAAGCTTAAAAGGCTATGAACACCTATCCACCAAGGTGTCTAGACACAGAATCTCTTTTCTATTACTTGTAGGGAAGGACTGTGCACTGTGAAGTTACAGTTAGGGTACTGCTTCGAGGCAGTAGAGTTCATTCTGAATGGTTAGCAGCACACTTTTAAGAAGTCATTCATTTTCTTTCAAGCATTTTGAATTATTTTTGCTTAACATTGTTTTATAAATTAAAGAAGCTGCCCAATAAAGTGAGCAATTGCGTTGCCTTGCAATGTATTATGCTATAGTAAATCCTTGCATGCAAAGACAAATACTGCTAATAGGTTTCGAGGGCTCAGCACAATTGCAGTGAAACACAGTATTTGACAACTGAGAGTTGTAAATTGTAGATTGCAAATAATGTAACATGGCCATCTTCGAAAACAAAGTTTCTCATTAAGCTAAAGCAATTTGGACAAAGTCTAGCTTTAGGACATACATTTTGTTAACAGCCCCTTAGTTTGCAATTACACTAATGAGACAGCCAGGTGCAAAAGCAAGGTTTATAGAAGTAGCCCCACTATGTTTGCTACAATTGCTGAGAGGTGTGTAAAGCACTGGATTTCTTTCCTACCTTGCATTGTTCTACTTTATTTCCAGCTTCATCCATCTCTTCCTTGAGAGATTCTATTTTTGAAGGATGCACCTGAAAATTTGTTCCTGAAGTCTTGTGGGCTTGGTTATACCTGTGGAAGAAAGGTTTCAGTTATTCAGTGAAACCTGTTCTTTCAGAAGAAACTGCATTTATGGGTCCCTTTTAAAACTGGTTTCTTTCAATATGAAACAAACCCAACAGTTTCAGAGGTTTTCCCCAGCAGAACTTCACATGCAGTTCAAACTGTCATTTAAATTACTTATGATATAAATATTAACAGATGTACGGCAGCATGTCAGAGGCAAATACCAGTATCAGATCAAACAGCGCGAGATGCTAACAAGAAGTTATCATGATTAGGGAAGGAGTATTAAAATTACTTCTTACCTTGCTCTTGCTGAATCCCAGTCCAGCACCAGCTTGGCAAGCTGCTTCCTCTGCTTCTGAATGTTAGGGATCTCTGACTAGAAGCAGAAATGAAGGCTTGTGTTTATTTTTAACCCGTGTACTGCAATTATTACATTTTGTAGATTTCAGACTCACTTTTCAGCATTAGTGCAAGTCTACTTAAAACTGTTCCATTTTTAACACTGAGATAAACCTTTTTCGTTCGTTTATATACAAGTCCAAACTCACTCAGCCAGGGCAAGCGACTTACCTCTGTCAGTTGATTCAGTGGATCCAAAATCTCTTTTTCGATCTGTACTTCATGCTGAGAAAGTTCCATTGCCAATTTATTCTCGGCTTCACCACAGGTATCAAGCATTTTCCTTTAAAAATCATAGGAAGTTGGTGTAACATGAGTTATGATCGACTGAGGAAGAAAGACTCGAAATAACTGTGTCCTGTGACCTCTGCTAGCCATGTGGAACTGTGTTTTGCATAAAGCAGAGCTTTGATGGCATAAAAGATGCCTTCCTGCTGTCACTGGCAAATTTAGGACAGCTGAGGTCATTAAACCTTTGTCTTAAAAGGATCCTATAACCACTATTTATATTTTTCTGCTGGTATTAAATATTTTTATACTCGCCATAAGAATGGGAATGTTGGAATTTATTTCAAAGGCCATTCTTCCATCTTGCCAGACACAGGAAAATTGATCAAGATAATATTTAATTCTCCTGTAAGTCCCTTTAACTTGAAAAAGTCTCTTAATACCACAAAGCCAAGCAGTCACACATGCAGTCTCAGGTTCCAAATTCTTGATCTGACCTTCGTTTTACGTTTGTTCTAAAGATAAACTTCATTTACTTTAGGATTTTTATCTATATATAAAACTCCTGCAACAGCTCCCAAACACACACAGAGGTTTTCAGGACAGTCCGCACTGGCTCCCCCAGCGCATCCACGAGCAGCAGGAAACACATCTGTGCTGCCAATCCCACATATCCATGTCATTTTATTCCAAGTACTTTCATGTGAGCTGCAAAGTTGCCCTTCGCCAGGACCCGGGAATTGGGATTATCCTAAACCTGAAGCCATCAATAAACCTGCAGAACGCAGTACTCATACTGCAGGTTACATTTTAAATGGAGACAACATACCAACATATTAGGAAAAAAGATATTTTCAAAGGCTTTTACAATGGATAATTTAAGGTTCTTTCTGAACAGTGGAAAGAGTCAGAATCCTCTCAAATATAATTCAGAGCAGGCATAAAACTTGTCCAGATCACTAAAAAGAAATGTTTGCTCACTTTTTCTTCCTATAGATTCAAGAAGGAGCCTAGTTTCTTTAGCAGGAAAACTGTCCTTTTATAGCTCCAATTCCTATAACTGTGCAGACAATAAACATGGCAGACTGCATCTCCTACTAGCCCGACACTTACCCCAGCCCGACACTTACCCCAGCAGAGTTTCATCACTTAGCTGGACAGATCCTTCCTGCATGTTCTGAGCAAGAGCTGTCAGAGGAAGCTTTTTCTGCAAACAGAAGGAACAGTGCTTATTTTACTTCATGCTACTCAGCATCTTTAGCCTTCCAAATTGCCTCTAAAATTCCCTCTTCTCCATACAGTTTCTATTATGCACATATCCAATTCATTCTCCGGCTTTAACAAAATGCCAAGTCACAAGAAGCTTCAAGCCTTTTTCAGTGCACCTCTTGAACAGCAGTTCTCAAGAGTCCTGTTCCCAGATGTTTTAAAAAGCACTTTCCTCTCACTTAGTGAGAATGACCATCTCACAATATAAATTGCTTTTAGCCAAACACAACTGAACAGCTTTCAATTGAAATTTAAGTGGCTTGTCATTCACCTCCATGCAGAGGTTAATTCTTTGTCCTCACATTTTCTGCAGGGCTATTTTCCACTAAAAGGAGAAAGCTTGCATGTTGGCCATTTCTGGTTTTAACAATTTCTGAAAGCCTTTTCTGTGGTTTGCCTAAAGAAGGATAAGGGTCAGAAATCAATCACACATACAGAAACAGCTGGCTCAATGTAGGCCATCAGTGCACAGAGGCAATTCTAAAATAAGAAACCTGACGGAGTTCCAGAGTATCTTCTTTTCTTAGTGGTGTCTTACGAAAGCTTACTAGATATGGATGGTGATTGTTTTACCAAATAGTGTTTTACCAAACACTGGCCCACGAGATGACTCTACAGAGTTGTATTCTGGATAATATGAGGCACAGCAGCTGATCGGGATGCAAAAATCAGGCGGGATTCAGACTAGTCTAAGCTGACAAGCCGAAGAGCAGCAGTACTTACATGTCTCTTATCAGCATCTGTGCCATGCTGGCCCTGAAAACACGCGATTAATCGCTTCTGTGAAATATGACACACAGACCGCACTGTGTCCAGGCGTCTCTCGATCTAGTGGCGGGAGGAGGAAGGGGAGAAAAAGAAAAACAAAAAACAGAAGTTATTTCCTTGGCCTCAGCAGAAAGTCTTCCTTCTGTATCACGTTTGCTCTTGGCTTGCATATTTTTCAAGCTTACAAGGAGTTTGGACCCTTGGCAAAAGTGCCAGACAACAAACACATTTGAAAGATTTGAACTGATTTTGTTCTCAGAAACATGGTTATTCACCTTGTGATGCCCACAAGACTGAAGAACAGGAAAGAGAGAGAAGTCTCCCCTGCTGTCATAGCAAGAGCCAGTTTCATACTTGTCACCTGGAATCTGTGATGAATGGACCATGCAGGTATCTAATATACTAATCCAGACAGAAAATGATGAAAAAAATCAAATATTCTTTCACTGTCATACCATAAAGTATAAGGCTAAGATAAATGTAACTGGTTCCTTATGTTGGCCCAAACCTATGTCTTTCAAATCCACAATAAGGTTTTATTCTCTGGCTATTAAATGCAAGAAAAAAAGTTCCTACACGTGCCAGTATCATCAAGGAGAAACTAAGAGGATTCAGGGGGGATGAGGAAGGAAAAGAGCAGCCAGCAGTGCACAAGCAGGAGTCCAGTTTACCACAATGTAATCGGAACCATGACGCTACATGCGATGGGAATGTGACAGATATGCACTAATAAACTGCTCTTTTAAAGGACGCTAGGTAAGGAACTATTTTCTTTCAGGAAACACACCAAAAGCAAACAACTGAAAGCTCCTGTGCGCACGAGCACTGAGACAACTGCGTACAGCACTGAGCTCGCTGTGCACAGCCAAGGAATGCAGTTTATCTGCATTTTGATGACTCACCACGATTAAAAGCAAGCCCTTTGGAATGGCTTATATTAAAAAAAGGGCAAAAAAAACCCCAAACCCCAAATAGTTTTCATCTGTAGAAATAATCTGAACAATCTCCAGTCCTCAGGACCGCTCCAAAATTGCTTTTGTTAAGTTTTTAGGAGGGCAATAATTCTCCCCAAGTTTTACATCTATAAATACAGATGAGCTCTGACATATAGAAGTGCTCTCAGTGTTAGCTGCACTATCACGCGTGGCATTAGTTCCCCTCAGTGCACAGAAACCGGTTTGAAAGTAGGAAGTAAACCATCAGCTGGCTCTTCCAAAGCAGCAAATTGCCATGCTCTAATGAAGGCAGAAATGCTGCCAATTCTCTTCAAATGCCACACCATCAGACAGGAGTGACTTGGTTTTTCCTCCTATTTGGCATTTATGGACACTGCTTGCTGTGACAGAATAGGATTCAACCTTGGTATCCTCCTGAAGCAGCTACAGATGGATGGGTGTAATTAAATCCTAACAAAGTCAGTTAGCAAAAAACACAGCTAGCAAGAAAAGCAGATGCAGACAGAGAAGTTGTGAAGATAAAGGTTGCCGGGAGGCTGCCGAGGAAGAGAAGCAGAAGCAGACGGGGAAGCGGGCGAGGAAGAGCGTGGAATCGCTGCTGTCCTGCACAGGAACCCGGGCCTGGGACACAGAGCGAACGCACGACCGGGCTCCCCTATTTCCTGACGTTTCAGGACAGGGAAGCTCCTCTGCTGATAAGCTCCAGATTGCAGAAGCTCCAAAATCCAGGCTCGGGGGCTGCTGGAGCTTTGGGCAGCACCTCTAAGTCTGAAGTGACGCTAGGACAGAACCGGTGTAGGACTGAACTCTCACTGGCTACATGAGACACTGCAGAGACAAAACACTTTTGATTGCAATAAAAATTAACCCAAACTCAGCTGCTAAAAAGCTCAGTAAAAATCATTATAGTAGACTGAACTGCAGAGAACTGCGCTGGTTTTAGTTTACTGAACACATAGGAACAATCTCAGAAATGAAGTCCATTTCAAGAGGTCCGTATGAAGACACAGAAACAAGAAGGTCCTGTTTCACATGCAATGTTGCAGCTGGGTTTCTGCTGTGCTAAGACTAAAGACAAACCAAAACATTGTAAACTATCCCCCGATTTAGGAAAACATTTATTTTTGCAAGGTCATTAGTTGAGGCTTCGAATGCTGTGGGCAGTTGTTCCTAGGCGCCGTGGGAACGCGTGGGCGGGCGACGGCTGCAGCCAGCCCCCAGAAGCACCCCGAGCAGGTACGTTCCTGACGGCCTCTTCTTCCAGAGGTTCCAGGGCCAAACCCCAGGTGTAAGTTTGACAAAAGAAACGCTTCTAAAGTTCGTGATCACAAATTCTACCCCCTCCGTCAGCTCACCCACAACAGGAAAGCACGAAGCACATTAATCTCCATTAAGCTACCTTTAGATGGAGGAAGGTGACATAGAGGCCAAACTGTGAGTGCTCACAGGATGCCTTCGGGGCACAAAGCATTACACAGCTTTATATTTTATATTATGTGCTATAAGCTCCTTCTGGAAGGTGGGTTTAGTGCAGACGCTGCTCCAGTTCTGCACACGCTATTCCTCCTTTTGGACCGCGGCACACCGAGATACGTGACATGGGAGATCACGCTTCACAAAACAGAAAAAGCTCCTGCAGTCCCATGTCAAAGCTCAAGCTAAACATAGACAGGAGGACTGCTGAAAACATGTTTATAAAATGAACAGTACCGAGCTTTGAAGCCATTTAGTTAGATAAGCAGCTCTCTCCCCTCCACGAGCCCCCGAGAGCAAACAAACAAGTGAGTAAATTCTTCCATTTGGGTGTAGCCAGGCTGCTCTGTGCCTGGGAAAGCCTTGCTTGCAAAAATTTTTTGGCAACAAGCAGCAGAGCTTTTGGCTTTCACTTCTTGTTACTATTCTGCTGCTAAGCAAGAAAACATATGGGCGCTTAAAGGCTGTCAAGGTGCTTTAACATCCTTCAAGCCTTTTAACTGCAAGCTTCCCTAAGAAGCTAGCAATCGTATTCCCAGACTGCTCACTATTTGTGTGTCAAAGAAAGCAGCCCCTGGACAGAAGGCTGAACTGTTTCAGTGCTGCTCATTCAGCCATTACTCAAGATTATTTCATGTATTTTTCACTAAATTCAAGTTTTAAGCTGGAACATTCCTTCCTTCTTCTACTTCAATCCGATCAGTTGGAGGAATTTATAATAAAAGCAGCTGCCTCTGCTTTTTAACACTTCATGTTAGTGCTAACGGCTCTGAAGTTTACCACGCTAGACCAGTTAATTAAAAGCAAAAAGCTTTATCCTTTACTTTATCATGCCATACCAGGGGATTTCAGAAACAGAAGTACTTCAGCTTTTCACTCGAGCTATATCATAGCTTTTCCGCATGCAGAGAAGTCGGAGCCAAAAATATCTTTGTTTTCACCCCTGTTGATGGCAATTGTTTTCCCCACAATAGGCACTCCACAAAACTCCGAAGGCTCAAACTTTTTAAAGAACATTAAAAGTATACATTAATAGAGTCACAATACCTGCAAGAGATCTTCGCTCAGCACCTCAGTTTTCTCAGCCCTAAATGGGGATAAAAAAAAAGAGAAGTCAAATGAACATGTTGAAGGATAAAGATTTCAAGAACGGTCATGGTGAGATGACAATAAACTCAGTATATGTTTATTGTGCAGAGAGTACATGCAACAAAAACGCAGGAGGCAGCGCGGGATGCGCCGGCAACGCGCGGCCGCCCCGGGAAGCGCCGCCGAGGAGCAGCACGGGTAGAGGTTCCCCGAGCTCGGCTCCACGCTGCTCGCCAGGTAACGCTGGCAGCGCGCGAGCGCGAGGCAGCAAAGCGGGAGCTGCTGCACGCCCGGGGCCACCCTTGGGCACCTCAGAGCTCCCCGCCGCGCTCCCCACGCACACGTCCTCGCTCGGGACCCTCCTGCTACCTCCATGTGCTCACTGTCCTGCCCCTTTCAGACTGATGTGGCACTGCTATTAATAAAGACTATCTATAACTAATAATATTCCAGGTAAAGGTCTCTCAATAGCAAACGACCTGAATGACAACACGAGCACTTGTTACATGTACGCTCAAGCCCTTCCAGCCCAGTTTACACACACACTTTGAACTGTTTAATGTTGAACCAGATTTGCTGAGCGCTGGTTCTCATTTCCTGCAGCTCTGCTGTCTATCTTTGCCAGATCTACAAGCCGGGCAAGATAAGGTTATCTCCCTGCTGCTCTCCTCTGCCTGGCTGTTCACTTTTACTGCACACCTATTGCTCTACGTGCACTTTAGTGCAGCAGGATTCAGCAGGTGACTCCCTCTGTCAGGGTCTTACCCAAGGCACTAACTGATCCCGAGGGCATTTAACAGCTCCGGAAGACTGCTCGCAGGCAAACCTCCCACTTTATTGACGTGCTTCAGCAGCTGACCGCCCCGAACGGCTCCGAAGGCGCCTTCGCTCTTTCCTCCTCAAGGTGACCTTGGCTTTGCGGCACACTGCCCGCCTGGACCATGTGTGAGCCGCGAAGCCTTTAATACAGCAATGCGCAAGACCCCAACGAGAGCAGGCGAAAGGGCCACGAAAGGCTGGATGCCACAGGCCGCACTCATTCCTGCTGACAGAACCTTGGGTTTCAAACCCCGCTCTCTCCTCGGCCTGTGTTCCCCAGGGGAAGGGACGCTTCTCATCACCAGCTTCCATGCACTCGGACTTCACCTCCCGCTAAAGACGCGGGTGCCACCTGCGCTGGGCTCTGTAGCTTCCGCGCCTACCCCGGACCTACCTGCGACTTGGTACTTGAGCAGCTCGCTAGGAGAGGGCTCAACGCATGTAAAATGGCCTCGCGTGCAGCTATGTTCAACACACCCCGGGCCCAACACGGGGCTCCTGAGCACAGCTGCCCGGCTGCGCTCCCGATGGCCGACACCTTTCAGGGCATCTCCTGCAAAACACGGGCCTCCGGCACCAGCACGTGCAGCCATTCCAAAACGAGAGCCTACTGCAAACTTCCAACGTTGATATTTAAGGAAAACGAGTGCTTATTTCCAAAGGCAGAAGGGGTTTTTAGCTCTCCCCCTGCACGTGCAGCACACAGCTAGCAGGGCCGTTTGCCAGAGCCCGGTAGCAGAGGATGGCGCCGGCTCTCCTGCACGATGCCAATGGAGCCGGACGGAGCCCCGGGCGCTCCCTGGGAAGAGGCTGGCACTCGGGAAGCGCGAGGCGGGAAGGTGTCCGGGCAGGACAGCGTGGCCCAGCTCCCTGCCGAGGGGCCAAGGGCTCCTGCTCCCTCTGCACATCAGCTGCCAGCACCTTGTGCCTACATTTAACACCCGAGAGCAGCCCGTGGGACAGCAACTCTCCTGTCGGCTCATTTGAGAATTGACAATTCTGTACATAATGACTGAGCTTTGAAAGGGAAAAACTACAATTCCTAAGATACTGGATAAGTCGGCTTTCCCCCCTTGTTGCGTACAAGAACATAAACAAGCACGAGCAAAGTCTCCACAGCGCGCCAGGGATGCCGAGGAGGATTACGGCCTCAGGGCTGGGGCTGCCCAGGCGGCAGTGCTGTGGACACATGCTGCGAGGCCGCGCTCCCCACGCTGTCGCTGCCCGCCCCGGGACGCGGCCGCGCGCGGGGCGAGCGGGTCCCCAGCACAGCGCTGCGGAGGCGGCGGCCGCCGAGCGCGAGGCCCCCGCGAGCCCCGCAGCAGAAATAGCCAGGCCGCTCAGCTGTTCACACGCTTTAAATATCGAAGAGCTGCGTGCCTGGCTGCGGCGGCGGGCACGGAGCCGCTCCCCCGGGGAAGGAAGGGCTGGGGGAAGCCAGCGCAGAGCCCGGCGCCTCGCGGCAGGCCGGTCGCTACCTGTTAGGGTAGACACGGCCTGCAGAGCAGCTGCGGGTTGCGAGGTTGAGCGTAGCAGGGCGGTCTAAACTCAGAACCAAATCCAGGCCAGGCTTAGAGCTACGGCTGCCACCTTAAATGTGGGTGATGACTGTCTTATCCTCATTCGATTGAGGATGGTTTTATGCAAACAAACTCCACCAAAACACATTTTTAAATGTTTTTCCACAACTGCAGGTCCATCATTCTGCAGCACACGCAGCCGAACACAGCACCCAGCACATGCAGCCAAACGCAGCGCCCGGCCCTTCTCCGTTCCCCCGCACAGAAGGGCTGCGACGGGTGCAAAACCGGTTCCCGCTCAGCACCATCAGCTCCCGGACTGCTCTGCGCCCCAGGAAGGCGGCTGCAGCACCAGTGCAGACAAACCCCATTCCAGAGATAATATTATTATCTTTCGTGGGGACAAAAACACAAGCTCGTGCAAAACAACAGCCGCAGGTGGAAGTGGAGCTGAGGAGCCCTGAGCGCGATGCCCAGCCCTGCACATCAGCATCACCACAGCTACCAAACGAGTGGAAATTTACTGCGGGAGAGCGGCGGGAGTGAGCGCAGCGCCTGCTCACAGAGACACGGGCACTCACAGCGAACACGTGAGGCAGTTCCCGTGTCCGAGTGGAAACAGAGAGCTCGAGCCAGGCTGGCTGCGCTGCCCGGCGCTGCCGGCCGCTTCCCGCCGGTGCCAGGGCCGCTTCCCGCGCACAGACGGCACTGCCGCGAGCATTGCCCACCCGGCCGGGGCGAAGCAGCGGCTCAGGGCTGCAGCCCTCGCTGCTGTCTCCGCTTCCCAAGCCCTGCGCGCGCCCTTGGAGCGCTTGCTGCGAGCCGGCCGCTCCGAGCACCTTCCCAGCACATCCTGCCCGCTTTCCACGGGACAATAGACAGGATTTGTTGCCAGGAAAAATGGAAGAATCAGCAGCTCTGCTCCAAAACAAAGAATCCAGAATTAGAGGAACTTCCCTTCCAAGGCTTTCCTTTTTTAATGTTCACTAAGACAGACTTGATAGAAAACAGAACTTCGATCAGAGGTGTTTCAAGACCACCAGGTTAACTTTCCCTATGCAATTCCAGGACGGGGCTTCCCATAAGTCAATCGTCTTGGTTAGGAGTTGGAATGTGAACTATTTCATCTGCAGCCCCCATCAACCAGCCAACCCCACCTGTGGCTGCCCCCCACATGCAGCCAACACCTCCCTCTCCTGCTCGGACACGAGGCTCCAAACCATGGAGGAAGAGGAGGAGGAGGAGGCAGCAGGGAAGGGCGCGAGGCCCCGCGACGGCCGGGCGCTCTCCACTTCACCTCGCGCTTCTCTGGCTTAATGCAGGTTAAGATCTCAGCAGGAGTGCGCTGGCCAATCCACAACTGGAAAAATAAAGTCTACAATTGTGGTCTCTCTATGAACATATATTAAAGGTCACTTTTCAAAACCATTCTATTACAAAGGATTTATTTTGCTTCTTTTGGCAGTCTGTGCTAATATTCAACTTTCTGGATGTAAAAATATACCGTAGGAGTTTGGTTCCACTTACACCGCATTTTGAAGACAAGCCAGAGCAGGCATCTATTTGGCCAAATATATTTCTCACCACAGTAACCAAATCATGTTATACAATTCCAGAAGTAATCCCACTTGAGCTCCACTCCTGCTAAAAGGCAAGATTATCTTTAGTGCAGCTTGATTTTTTTCCAAAGGATCCCAGCACGACACAAAGTAAATATAAATTCTCTGCAATTTAACATCTCTTAGAGCACTTGTAAATGCTGACAGTTGCCATCTTCCAGGGCTATAGTTTAAGCCGGCCACTGACGGAGAAAGAACTGAACTCTGCTTAAAATTACCTGCTATCTGCCTGCATGTTTTGAGTTAGGTATGTGGAATTCTGCACGGCAAGGTTTTAAAGCCGAGCAAACATTCCTAGCTGGCCAATAAACACTTGCAGCATCCATATGTTTTGCAATGTCCGCGACAGACTGTGCACGAGCGATGCTGCGGGGCTGCGGCTGCAAACCACTGCTCACGGCACAGGCAAACTCCACCTCGGCTCGGCGCAAAACAGCTGCAGAACCTGCTCAGGGGTTGCTTCAGGAGGCACGCTCACAGCCTAAGGCCACACGCTACATTTCAGAGCTCCAACCTCCTTCTTACAAAACACACATTTACTCTTAGCATTAGACAGGAAATGACGGCAAATGCATTCAATAAAACTCAGTTTAACAAAAAGTACTGTCTGCACTATCAGGTCTATACAACAAATCCATAAAGATTACATGGCACACGCACAATAAGGAAAACCAAAGTTAAGTCAAAAACTTTTTAAAAGGCTAAATTGCAAACATGGTTTTAAGGCAGACCAAGAATCAAAGCAATTTTGTCTTGACAGAGGCACGTATTTCAGGGAGCAGTCTCTCAGAAGCCCCACTTTTGCATACCAATACTACTGGATGGCGGGTACAAATAAGAATGAAGTGCTTCTAGCATACTAGTCTCCCAGCAAGTCGCTACTCTACACTTGCACACCACGAACAACATTTTAGCTAGCCAGGCATTGTCTATATTCTTTTCTAATTAAAAAACAATGTCAACAACAAAAAACTAGAATGAACATTAGGCCAATATAAGCCTGGTTTCATTTGAATTGCATTTAGTCCTGAAGGTAGAAA